TGGGAAAAGTTGTGAAAAAGGTAAGTATAAGACAAAGTTACATTTCCAGAATTAAATACTTCTTGGGCATTACATGCTCATGCTCAGTCATGTCCAACTCTTTGCGACCCCATAGACTGTAGCCTGGCTGGCTCTTCAAGTCCGTAAGTGGGTTGCCATTTCGTACTCCAGGAGATCTTTCCTACCCAGGGATCAAACCCGTGTCTTCTGCGTTGGCAGGCAGATTCTTTACCACTGTGCCACCTGGGAAGCCATCGTAGGTATTTACATGTGACGTATCCAAAATAGCCTGAGGCCCTGTGGGTACTGGCTGGCTGGCAGGGTCAGCGAACACAATCCAGGAGGCCCAGGTGCTGCTGCTTACATTCACATTCAGTCCAAGGGTGCTTCAGTGCTCGTGTGTTGGGTCACGCCCTTGGCTACTTCTATCTTTTTGAGTGAGAGTAAACAATAAATAGAAGGCAATGGCAACCCACTCCAGTACTCTTGCCTGGAAAATTCCATGGACGGAGGAGCCTGGTAGGCTGCAGTCCATGGGGTCCCTAGGAGTCAGACATGACTGAGCGACTTCACTTTCACTTTTCACTTTCATGCATTGGAGAAGGAAATGGCAACCCACTCCAGTGTTCTTGCCTGGAGAATCCCAGGGACAGGGGAGCCTGGTGGGCTGCCTTCTATGGGGTCGCACAGAGTCGGACACGACTGAAGCGACTCAGCAGCAGCAGCAAACAATAAACAAGATCTGACTGAGTTATGTTTGGAAAGATTGCAGTATATGAGACACTGTATATGAAATGCCTGGAAAGAGCCCAGTAAATGTTGACGTTTAAAAACTTCTGCACTTGCATTGGATGGAACCCAGAAATAGCAGTGAAAGCCATTGTTGCTTTCAGTCTGGGACTCATCTGCAACCATTTTTATTCATACTTTTGAGGAGGTAGTGTTGTACTGTGTTCTGATTCACCAGATAAAAATAAAGTTGGGCTAACTGTGATTTTAGGGGTTCCCAAGGGGTTTAGCAGTTAAGAATCTACCTGCAATGTAGAAGACTCGGGTTCAATCGCTGGGTTGGGAAGATCCTCTTGAGAAGGAAATGGGAACCCACTCCAGTATTCTTGCCTGGGAAATCCCATGGACAGAAGAGCCTGGAGGGCTACAGTCCATGGATCACAAGAGTCAGACATGACTTAGCGACATAACAATTGTAATTTTGCCATGCTCCCATTGTACAGTTTTGAGGGCACTTTAAAATGAGTGATCTTGGATAAAATTCCTAATCTTTATATTAGACTTGAAGACAAAGTACCTATTTTCCTACATGCTTTTCATGTGGGGACAGGAAGAGGAGAGAAAGGGGCATAATACTACTTAGCAGAATGACTGGCATGAATGGCAATGCTGTGCTGGATAATTAGGTAAATTCAAATTCATAACAGAAACAGAAGCATAGATAGTGTTCTCATAAATGTTAACATTTACCTAGACAGCATTTTAAAAAGCAGAGACATTCCTTCGCCAACAAAGGTCTGTCTAGTCAAAGCTGTGGTTTTTCCAGTAGTCATGTATGGATGTGAGAGTTGGACCATAAAGAAAGCTGAGCATGGAAGAAATGATGCTTTTGAACTGTCGTGTTGGAGAAGACTCTTGAGAGTCCCTTGGACTGCAAGGAGATCCAACCAGTCCATCCTAAAGGAAATCAGTCCTGAATATTGATTGGAAGGACTGATGCTGAAGCTGAAACTCCAATACTTTAGCCACCTTGATGCGAAGAGCCAACTCACTGGAAAAGCCCAGGATGCTGGGGAAGAGAAGGGGATGACAGAGGATGAAACGGTTGGATGGCATCACCAACTCAATGGACATGAATTTGAGTAAATTCTGGGAGATGGTGATGGACAGGGAGGCCTGGCATGCTGCAGTCCACAGTGTCACAGAGTCGGACATGACCTAGTGACTCAACTGAAATGTTAACATGACAACACAAAGTTGTGTGAACCACGTGGAAAGCCCTAGGTTATCACTTTATATAGACTCTACTTCAAAAACTAGGAGGAATTTGTTTTTTTCTATCTCGGGGTCATTCCCCTGAGAAAAACTGACAGAAGAAAAATTATAATAAAGGGTCACAGTCAGTTCAGTTGTTCAGTCACGTCCAACTCTTTGCGACCCCATGGATTGCAGCACGCCAGGCCTCCCTGTCCATCACCAATTCATGGAGCTTGCTCAAACTCATGTCCATTGTCATCCTCTTTGCCTCCCGCCTTCAATCTTTCCCAGCATCAGGGTCTTTTCCAGTGAGTCAGTTCTTTGCATCAGGTGGCCAAAGTATTGGAGTTTCAGCTTTAGCATCAGTCCTTCCAATCAATATTCAGTCCTTTAGGATGGACTGGTTTGGTCTCCTTACTGTCTGAGGGACTCTTAAGAGTCTTCTGCAACACCAAAGTTCAATAGCATCAATTCTTCGGCACTCAGCTTTCTTTATAGTCCAACTCTCACATCCATACATGACTACTGGAAAAATCATAGCTTTGACTAGACGGACCTTTGTTGGCAAAGGAATGTCTCTGCTTTTTAATATGCTATCTAGGTTGGTCATAGCTTTTCTTCAAAGGAGCAAGTGTCTTTTAATTTCATGGCTGCAGTCACCACCTGCAGTGATTTTGGAGAACCCCAAAATAAAGTCTGTTTCCATTGCTTCCTCATCTATTTGCCATGAAGTGATGGGACCAGATGCCATGATCTTCATTTTCTGAATGTTGAATTTTAAGCCAACTCTTCACTCTCTTCTTTCATCAAGAGGCTCTTTAGTTCTTCTTCGCTTTCTGCCATGTAGAGAAGAGGCTAAAAGGAGTTCAATTTGGTTTTCACTGACTATTTTTAAAAGTCGCCGTAAAAAGTGAAACTTACATAGTTTAAAATTGAAAAAGAGGATAAAACAAAACTTTATTCAATATGTCCAATGATGGAAATGCTTTAAATTCTACTTCAGTTCCAGTACGGCTAATAATGGGGTAGGGAAAAGGACTGGAAAAACAAAAAGGACAAGGAAAGAAACCTGAAGAGACAGAGGCAAAGACTGAGACCCAATGAGAGCCAAAAAAAAACCCAAATCAAAACAAAGCACCAAAACACACACCAACAACAGGAAGAGGCTTATTTAATTACTCTTTTAAAACTTTTTTTTAAAAAAACCTGTTTTGTAATTCCCTGCTACAATTCTTTATCTTCTTTTTTTTTTTCTCCCTAAGCAAGGCTTTACTGGGACTCATGTGCAGCACAAGGGAGCAAAAACAAGGAACACTTTCTCTTTCTTGCTCCCTGAGGTGGGGTGGGCTGGTTCCTTATGCCGAGTGAGGGTAGGGGTGGGTGCTGTGGTGTTCAGGAATACAACTTTTCATTACTACTCTTTTAACAAGGGCTATACTTCACAATTTCTCAACATTTTATCCTTGAAATTCTTATTGGGTCTACCAATGTTCAACAAAACTTTCTTTGATGATGAAAATATTCTCTCTATATGCTGTCTCATGTGGTAGCAACATGTAACTACTGAGTACTTGAAATATGGCTAGTGCAATACATGGATGAAATTTGAAATTTTATTTCATTTTAACAAAATTAAGTAGTCACGTGTGATTATCTTATTGGACAGTGTGAAGGTCTAGTGTACATTTACAGTGGAAGGAAAATTGGTCTCAATGCCAATGTACAGATGGATAAGCACAGGTGAGATGAGACCACACAATGAATTACAGTCTCGCAGCTGCATCTTCTCCCATCCTTAGTTTCCTTATCATATATACAAAATACTCAAATATTATCAATGCTAATAATCATCCAATAGCCAAACTAACTTCTGAAGAGCTATCCTGCTTTAGGTGTGCAATTCCTATTCAGGATGAAGCACTGGTTGGATCTGGATGAATTGTGTTTTTTTGTTACCTACACCCCCATTGTTACAAAACGGGAACAATTCTGCCTTCATTGTTCCTCAAAGAAATAGGCTGAGGGTGAACACCCATGAAAGTTCTTTGCAAGACTCATAAACATACTGTACTTGACCACTTCATTGGCTATCCTGTGCTTCCCTTAATTCTTGCTTATCTTTTCCAGATGAAGAAAGATGCTCTCTTTTAGGGAATGGAAACAAAAAGTCACTTAGGTGTTGGGGCAAAAATACCAGTCAGGTTAAGTGCATTTTATGTATTTTTTGTATTCACTCAACCTCATTTCATTCAATAGTAGTAAGTCTCTTCCCCTGCTAGCAAGCTGTGAATGTTTTATTTCTTAGAAGAGCTGCGTTTTGGATCTCATAAAATCCTGTAAAGGGAAAGATCTGTACTGAGAATGAGATCCCTGCATGGATTTAGTCACTGAGCACCACCCCAGCCTGGTATGCAGTTGCTAGTTAGGCAGTAGGTCATCAACAAACTATTTTGAAGGAAGAAAAGAAAGTAAGTAATGTGTAAGGGTGGGCAACCTTCTGTAAATAAATTGTGGACTAGAGGTCTCAAGAGACCTTTAGAACTAAGCCCTTCATCTCGACAACTTTCGGACTCGGATGAAAATTTTACCAACGCCTTCCCAATTAACTTGCCCTCCCTGTAGTGACTGAGACCATAAGCTCCCTTTACACACCCATGACCTCAAGGGATCTTCTTTCCGGTCAAGAACAGTAACTGCCCACTGGCGCGTCCGGCACAAGGGCCCTGGGGTCAGGGGTGAGACGTAGACCGACTTCGTCCTCCACCTCTGCCACCGTCATTCCAACATAGAAATGTCTCCCTCCAGCCCGCCCTCCTCTGCCTCGCCCTTCGCATCCCCTGCCTCCCACTCACAGCATCCAGGGTAAGCTGAGCCAGTTCTTTGACCCCAACCAGGAGGCTTCAAGCTTCCGCCAAGAACTTGGCCCGGGGCGGCGCAGGGGTGTCCTGCTTCCGCGGTGGCGAGCGGCGTGGGTCGTGACGTCACCGCGCCTTGACGTCAGGCCGACGTGCAGCACGGTCTCCTGGGAGACCAGGAAAGCCGTTTTGCCCCCGGCGGAATCGAAGTATAGGTGAGAGACAAGGAAAGGCTTTTTTTGAGCCCGGGAATGACCTGGTCCCGGCGCGCAGTTCCGAAGAAGAGGCGTGCTGGCAGCCCGGGGGCAGAGCCGGAAAGCCGAGCCGTGGTGCTGCGCCCGGGGAATGGGCCCCGCGCCTTGCCTCTGCCCCCAGCTGCTGCCTCTGTCGATCTTCGCGAGCCTTTCCGGCTGGGCGCCCTCTTCTCCCCCTGAGAGCGCGGCTGGGATAGGCCTCATTCCCGCACCTCCTCTTCTTCTCGCCTTCACGGGTCCCCAGGGGACGGGGTTATAAAGGGACAGATTTCAAAACCCTTGCAGCTGATTTTGGCTGGACTTGCAGTTAGTTTCTATTTGGAAAATCCTGCCCCTTCAGAAGGTCTCAGGAGGTGAACTCCCTCTTCACCTGACCCTGACCTCATCGATGGTGATTCACACACACTAAAGGAATAGTTCTTTAGGGAAGGGCCTGAAAGCTGAAGGTGAGTTAATGGCCCAGCGTGACACTGGTGTCATGAAGGGAGTCGGAAGTGAACGACTGGGGACGGGTCTGTATTTTTGACATCTTCCTTGTAATCCTGTCAGAGCAGGTTCACAAATACCTACGCGGCTGCCGCCAGTTATCACCGCACCTCATGTCGAAGAACAGTTTACAAAGTGTGTAATGTCTGAGAATAAAAGGGCCTCTTTTGATTTAAAAAGAAAAAAGCAAAATAATGAAAGAGTAAATTAAAAGTTAAAAAAAAAATTTCCCTCTTGCCTAAAGGGAAAGAGACCTCTCCCATCCCTTTCTTGGGAAACCTCTTATGGCTGTGTGCTTCCTCTGTTCCTTTAACATGTATGTATGCAAATCTTTTGAAGACCCACAATATTTTTCTGGAGGACCTGGGAGCCATTTCTGTAAAATGTAGACATCAAGGGAAACAGGGCCCAAATCTCCATATTACTTTGGGGTTTAGTGCTTCTAGCAATCAAGTGCTTTGTCTAGAGATACGTATTCGTTTGAACAAACACTGTTAGCTAGCACGAGTGGCTACTTCAATTACCAGGTGAATTTAAAACAAACTATGAAATAGAGTATAGCAAGCTCTGTTGAGGACTAATTATCTTTTATCTTGAAGACATGTATGTAATGGAGTGTATCTACTTGGCTATATTAAAAAGTGGGATTTCTTTCTGTCTTTGTAATCTTATTAGCAGATTAGCTGTGCGTCACAGTCTAGTTAAATGCTTATGTGATAATAAAATTGCTTCCTTCATTGTGGGGAAATTTTCTGGATGGCAGGATTTTTAAAATTTTCCTCAATAATCAGACCTACCAGTTCTTCCCACTCAGTATAATAAGGCCACAAAATTGGACTAGATTTACAATGACGAAACTGTTCCACTGTGCCACTAGATTCATGCTCTCAAATACATTTAGGTGTGAAATTTTAAAAAGGAAATTTAGTTGGTAATTTTAGGAAAAATTCTGCTCACAATAGAGTTTCATTAAGATGAAGCCATCTTATTTTACTGATGGTGAGCTCACTGTAAAATGACAGAAATGAGAATAATAAGCTTTCAGTGAATAGTGAGCTCTTGCCACATCACTGTGACAGTCTGCCAAATATCAGATTATTATGTACTTGGCTATGTGGGCCAATGTTCACTATGTCAGTTAACTTTACTCTCTCTGTCCACACACATTGTATTACCTTTATCTTTAGGTTGGAAGACAGCCCATTAGTTATTTGTTTTAAACAGCAGCTCATTAAACATGGAACTTTGCTAACAAGGGGGATTGGAAATCCACCCTTCCACCAATACTTACACAATTAAAAAAAAAATACTGCCTCACAGGAACTTTTGTCAATTACAATTTTCTTGATATCTTGCTGTGTGGCTGGGATTACTTTTTCTGATAGAGTACTGTGCCTCTTTAGTCTCTGTCAAAATCTTGTCCTGACCAAAAGTAAACCTCTTCAGGACGCCTTTGCTAATTCCCCATTCCCATGAGGAAGATAAGACATTTTTTCCCCAGAACTTCTAGATCGTTCCTCATCTACAGCTCCTGGCCCTCAGGCCTTTCCTGTTGTGGAATTGTGCCTGTATTATCTTACTCTGCTGTCCCTGTCACTTCCCATATATACGTGTGTGTGTATATATATATATATATATATAATATGTATCTGTATACACCCATACATATGAATGAACATCTCTCATTTCTTGAAACTGGACTGTCTATTCTTTCTCCTTATTTGTGAAACATTAAAAAAATAAGAACTCAAAGTGCCCCTTCATTAATCTTGTGTGGTTTTATGAAAGTAATGATAGAGTTTTATATTGAATTGTTTTATTATAAAATGAAAATTATTAAAGTAAAATGTCTGTGTAAAAATTATATAAATGTCTACTTTTGGTAAAATTGACACTTGGCTTCTTATGCTTTAGTGATTTTTCTGTTCAGTGCTTGCCTATCATATTTAACTTGATAACTATTTTTTCCTGTACTTCATTTAAACCAGCATTCATGTCACAGTTGTTTTTTTTATCTGCTAAACTATTCTATAGATATTTTTTCCAGCAGCTTTTCAGGGGAGAAACTTTTCTTTTAAATGAAATAAATGGATCTGTTTAAAATTTTGTGATCCTTAATCTGTATTTGCAAAACAAATACCTAGTTGTATGCCACTACAGAAGTTACAATTATAAAGTTCCAAAGAAAGAAAATGTGATTTTTAATTCAGTAGTCTCTCTAGTCCTTCCTGTTCTATTGGCCTAATAACCACATGAGAAAACCTCATTTGTACCTTTTAACATTGAGTTGATGAAACAAGCATCTGTGGAAATAGTTAGCCCCATTGATTCCCAAATACTTGTAGGAATTTATATTTTAATTTAAATTTTCTTCATATTGTTTTAATTCTAATTATCACCATCAATATTTTTAGATTATTTTACTTCAAAGTTCCTTCAGTATATTTTGGGAAATTATGGATCGTCATGTTCCCATGCATGCATTACCTGAAGAAATCCAAAAGGTATGATATTATGTTATTACAGCACAACATTAGGAGAATTTTTAACAGTTAATTCTAAAACATGGGAGAATGAATTCAGAGGTTTTATATTTATTTTAGTCAGGGAATCTGCCGTGAATTGGTGGAGTGGGGAAGGGAATAATTTTAATAGTCAAAACTGTAGAATTCAATTCAGTGCAAAGAATGTTCAGCCTGTGAAAGAAGCTGGATATATAATTCTGGCATGGTATTTGACCAGGTGTTTTTGGAGCCCTTGTTTCACAAGGGCTCCAGCAACGGCCAAGTGCTATACTTAGATATTTATCTAGCAGCTTTTCAGGGAAAAAAAAAGAACTGACATAAATGGGTCTGTTTCAAATGTTAAGTAATCCTTATTGTATATTTGCAAAACAAATAATTAGTAGTAAACCACTACAGAAATTTTCAGTTCAGTTCAGTTGCTCAGTCGTGTCTGATTTTTTGTGACCCTATGGACTATAGCACAACAGGCCTCTCTGTCCATCGCCAACTCCTGGAGTTTACTCAAATTCATGTCCATTGAGTTGGTGATGCCATCCAACCGTCTCATCCTCTGCTGTCCCCTTCTCCTCCCGCCTTCAATCTTCCCCAGCATCCTGGGCTTTTCCAATGAGTCGGCTCTTCGCATCAAGGTGGCTAAAGTATTGGAGTTTCAGCTTCAGCATCAGTCCTTCCAATCAATATTCAGGACTGATTTCCTTTAGGATGGACTGGTTGGATCTCCTTGCAGTCCAAGGGACTCTCAAGAGTCTTCTCCAACACGACAGTTCAAAAGCATCATTTCTTCCATGCTCAGCTTTCTTTATAGTCCAACTCTCACATCCATACATGACTACTGGAAAAACCACAGCTTTGACTAGACAGACCTTTTTTTTTTTTTTTTTTTATTAGTTGGAGGCTAATTACTTTACATCATTACAGTAGTTTTTGTTATACATTGATATGAATTAGCCATGGATTTACATGTACTCCCCATCCCAGTCCCCCCTCCCACCTCCCTCTCCACCCGATCCCTCTGGGTCTTCCCAGTGCACCAGGCTCGAGCACTTGTCTCATGTACCCAACCTGAGCTGGTTATCCGTTTCACCCTAGATAATATACATGTTTCAATGCTGTTCTCCTGAAACATCCCACCCTCGCCTTCTCCCAGAGTCCACAAGTCTGTTCCATACATCTGAGTAGACAGACCTTTGTTGGCGAAGGAATGTCTCTGCTTTTTAATGTGCTGTCTAGGTTGGTCATAATTTTTCTTCCAAGGACCAAAAAATTTTAGTTTGTAACTTTTTTTTAATAATTTTTATTTATTCATGGCTGTGCTGGGTCTTCACTGGTGTGCAAGGGCTTTCTCTATGTGCAGGGAGTGGGGCCTACTCTTTGTTGCAGGCCTGAGAGCACACAGATTTCAGTAGTTGTGGCACATGGGCTTAGTTGCTCCGCAGCATGTGGAATCTTCTGGATCAGGAAGACCCGTGTCCTCTGCATTGGCAGGCTGCATTGGCACAGTCCACTGTGCCACCTGGGAAGTCCTAGTTTGTAACTTTTTGTGATGCAAAAATTTTAAGGGTGTCTCTCTATAAGGGTCTATTTCAGTTTCACCTTAATTCTTATCTTTTACCATGTTTTAAGGCCTTTTATAGATATCAACTCATTTAATCTGGTTAACATTCAATTCTTTTCACCATTGCTATGCTATTTTCCTACCTGTTCATTTATATCTGTCCTCAGGCAAAGTCATTTCTCCCATGTTTACTGTGGCAGTGCATACATTGCTAACAACGTAATTAAAAATATCTCTTTGAAACTGATTAACAAATTATGAATTAAAACCTCAAAACTTAACTGTCATTTATCATTCAGTTTTTAGGTAAATCTATAGTCAGTTTAAGATTAATCACCAGTCCATTAGTTTTTAATTAAAAACTGCAGTCAGCTCTCAGGTATATTTTTATCTTTTATGCATGTAATTCCTGTTATCATTAATCATGCCATTGATTTAACTTGATGCTTACTTCTACTGCATGTCCTTTAGATTTATGTAAACTGCAGTCTAGCAGGACCTGGAAGGGAAGTCTAGTTACCTTTAAAGACCTTTTAAACCATTGCACTTAATTCACTTCACCTTTAAAGTTAGATATAAGAGAAAGTTCAGAGAGAGCTCAGCTTTGCTATGCTTACCTGAGAAATGGTACCTAGATGTGTTTGAATACATGGAGTGTCCTCACACTCCCTCAAATGATTTCCTTCCATGTACTAGCCTGGTATGGTAGAGATAAAAAGAAACAAAACAAAACAATCTGCAAGAAATAATACCCATACTCAGATACCAGTCATCTGTTAGGAAGCAGATATACAATCACATGAAAAAAAAAAAAAAAGACCCTAAAAGACAATGTTGATTTAATGTCATGTAAGATACTATCTTCTCTGAAAATAGAGAAAGTGGGGAGAGTAATCCCTGAATATCATGATGGTCAAGGGAAGATCTTTTTACAGAGAATAGAACTGGAATTGGCCCTTGAAAGTAAAGTACTCCTAGAGACAGACAGGGAAAAGGGTATTCTGGGCTAAGTGATCAAAAGCTCACTGTTAAGAAAAAAAGACTGGCCAGGGTAGAGAATGTTTAATAACGTCAGTGTTTTAAATGCATGAAAGAGTATGTATTTATTTTAACAGAGTTTTAGTCCCTTGAGCTGCAAGGAGATCCAATCAGTCCATCCTAAAGGAGATCAGTCCTGGGTGTTCACTGGAAGGACTGATGTTGAAGCTGAAACTCCCAATACTTTGGCCACCTGATGCGAAGAGCTGACTCATTTGAAAAGACCCTGATGCTGGGAAAGATTGAGGGCAGGAGGAGAAGGGGACAACAGGGGATGAGATGGTTGGATGGCATCACTGACTCAATGGACATGGGTTTGGGTGGACTCCAGGAGTTGGTGATGGACAGGGAGGCCTGGCGTGCTGCAGTTCATGGGGTTGCAAAGAGTCGGACATGACTGAGCGACTGAACTGAACTGAATGAGTTGAAGAATGTGGTTTTTTCTTAAGATACTTATATAAGTAAATTTTTAAAAAATGCTAAAACCAATCATTTTATAAATGCACTTATATTCTCAAATCTTAAATGACAGGGAGCTGTCTGTGTAATGCAGAGAAGTGGGGAGGCCAGGAGTAGCTTAGCTGCCTGAGGCCCTGGACAAGTGAGTTGATTGTAGCCCTTGGTCTGCTGAATGCTTAGCCTGTAAAGTGCATCTTTGCAGTTTTTCAGACTGAAGTTAGATACACTTGTACGACAAGTATTTATCAAGTGCCTATAGTGTGCCAGACACTGTTCTGGGTACTTGATTATAAAGCAACCAAAAATATGCACATGCATCCCACATCCTGTTAGAGCTTGTTTTGGGAATGTCAGTTACTCATTTTCCATAACTTCTTACCTAATATTTGATTCCTCTAGATTGTCCATAATGTAACTGGTTCAAGAATATTTAGTCAGTTTGCATACATCATTCTATATACAAGCATGTTAAACAGATATATTAGCTTATAATAGTAATAAGAGTACTTCAGATTAGAACCATTTCATTATTAAAGTTTAGTTGCTCAGTCGTGTCCAATTTTTTGCAACCACATGGACTTCTCTGTCCATGGGATTTTCCAGGCAAGAGAACTGAAGTGGGTAGCCATTTCCTTCTCCAGAGGGTCTTCCCGACCCAGGGATCGACCCAGGGATACAACCCAGGGATTGTAGGCAGGCACTTTACCGTCTGAGCCACCAGGGCTTTCATTATTAAGATAAAACAAGTCTTAGCCTCTCATAGTGACTTGGAAATTGTGCTATAGTTCTTTATGGGATAAGAAAGGATGGGTGGGTCAGTGTACAGGGACACAGAGGACTTTTAGAGGCTTTTTCAATGTTCTTTTGTTCACTTTTTGTGTTAGTTTTTACGCAGGCTCTTCCTTCTAGGGGATTCCTTGGTGACTCAGGTGGTAAAGCATCTGCCTGCAATGCAGGAGCCCCGGGTTCCATCTCTGGGTCAAGAAGATCCCCTGGAGAAGGAAATGGCAACCCACTCCAGTATTCTTGCCTGGAAAATCCCATAGACAGAGAAGCCTGGCAGGCTACAGTCCATGGGGTTGGGAAGGGTCAGACACGACTGAGTGACTAACACTAATGGCTTCTTTCTCGAGAAGCCCCTGCTATGTTTCCTTTTTTGCTGTGTGCAGGCAAGAAAGCTTAGTGTAGAAATCAGGAAAGAGAAGTGGGGGAAATCCTTTTCCCCCGGTACTTTTGCTGTATCATATGGAAATAGGACGGTTGATCAATTACATGAAAGATACAGGATAAAGGAAATGGAAATGACTGTACTACACTGTACACACACTAGTGAAATAGGCAGCAATAGGTAAGAGTTGCAAGAGAATATAAATGTGGTGGGGGAGGTGGCCAACAAAGGAAAAGTGTGGAGAATACAGATAATACTAAGCTCTAGTTAGTCCATTACCTTATTAGAAAGAGAAGATTGTTAAATCGTCTCACCACTAGTCTCATCTTCTTAGGAAATCTTAGGGAAGAAAGAAAAAGATAATCTTTTGACAACCACTCCCAGATCTTTTTGTTTTTTTTTTATCACAATTTCTGACTGAGCATAAACACATTTCAGATTCCCATCTCCCCAAGTAGCAGAAAATGTCAAACAGACTAATGGGCTGGAAGGCTAGACCATACTCATCCCTTGTCTGCTGCTGGACTCTACAGCTTACTTTCTTGTGTACTTAGATTATATCTCTAAATGTACTTTCTAGACAAAGTTGACTCCTACCTGTTTCTGACTTCCAATAAGTAGCAGCTTTGCTGGAATTTTCATCTAGCGGACTGAAAGCAGAATGCACTTGTAATGATAGTACACTTCGTGTTTAGTATTTTATTGCCACAATTAAAACTAAAACACTTAAGAGATTAGCGAAATAATAATACTATATTT